CACTGTGCCTGGCCTCCTATAATGTTCTTAGTCTTGATCTGGGTGTTACACAATTATATTACTTTTGTAAAAATTTGACGAATTGTATACAATGGTTTGTGAATTTTCTTCTGTTACAATTTAATGAAAATGTTTAGAAAAAATTCAACATCCACTTATAATAAAATCTCTTAGTAAATCTAGAATGTAAAATATTGCCTTAAAATATAAAAAAGAATAATTATCAAACCATCATCCATTGTCATATAAATATTTAAACACTAGAAGTGATCCCATTAATATAAGGAAGAATACAATATGGCTCACTATCAGCTCTATTGCTAAAAATTGTTCTGGAAATATTAGTCAATACTGCAAGGTAAGAGAAAGAAATGGAGTTTTTATATTTATAAATTAGGAAGGGATCAGTAAATTTTCATTGTTTGGAAACGATATGATTATATATCTGGAAGTCCAAGCAAAATATCTGGAAAATTAATTTAAAAAGAGAATTCTATTTAAATGGCTACAAAAGTAACATTAAAAAAATCAATGTGTCTACAAATTATAATTAAGATTATGTAAAAATGGAAAGATCACAACACAAAAATAAACACCAATGAACAAAGTTAATAAGAAATATGAAAGAAACTAAAACTTTACTGAGGATTAAACAGAAGGAGAAAATTGAATAATAAAACTCAAAATTGCAAAGCATAAATATATATCCATGTATCCCACAAATACTAACACAATTTTGGAGGAAGTAGAAATTTGATAGCATAATTTATCATATATATCTTTAAAAGTCAAGATGTGGGAAGAGTCAGGAAAATTCTGAAGAAGAATAGTAATGAAGGACTCAACACTCACTACTTCAGTAAGAGACTGACTAGAATTCAGAAGCAAATATTTAGGCTAGTGGATTATCTAGCAAATAGCTTTGAGACAAACAGATAGATTTTCTTTTGTTTGGGCGATTAAGTGGGGGTGGATTGTTTGGAGCAGAGCCAAACAATCTAGTTTACTTTTTTATGCCAAAATAAATTGCCATGGATATAAGATTTAAATATACAAAAATAAGTCATAAAACTGATGGAAAACTTGGATAATCTTTTTACAATCTTGGCGCTAACTATATGCCAGGTAGTATTGTAAGTACATATAATAACTATTTAATCCTCACAACACGAAGAAGTAGATATTATTATGATTCATATCTTACAGATGAGAAATGGAGGCATAGATGGGTTAAGTCTGTTGCTTAAGGCTGTGGAGTTAGTAAGCAGAAGAGAGATGACTGGAACTTTAGCATCTGGCTCCAGAATTTGTGTTCTGAACTACTATACTGCACTGCTTCTGTGATAACCAAATACTATGTTGAATTCTCCTGTAACCCTACATACATGCAGATGAGGTTTAGACTTCTGAATTTAAAAATACTGTAAGTGATGTTAAACAGCAAACTGAGAAGATATCTGCAACATATGCTACTCCAGGGTACTGAATTTTTAAATATATGTAGAACTCATACAAATCACAAATAGACAACAAAAAGTAAAAACCAAAGAAAAATAAAACCATGAACAAGCAGTTTATTGAAAAAAATGCCAATAAGTTTATGCAGTGTCATTCATCTTTTAAAAACCCCAAGTTAAAACAATGATGAGATATAATTTTTATCTACCACACTGTCAAATATTGAAAAGTTTAATAATACTCAATGTTTTGACCAGGTTGAGATAAAACAGACACATCCTATTTTTGGAAGCATAAACTGATAGAATTTTTAAATGATAATTTAGCAACACTCATCAAAAAAACTTCATGTACTTATCTAATGACCCATTAACTCCACTCTGGCTGTCTATTCCACACACTCACAAGAGGCAGAGTGCATGCATGCCTAGGGGTGCTCACTGAACCAGCTTTTATAACACTGCTACCCAGTCTAAACTAGCTCCATCTGTAAGAGCACTGTAAGTTCAGCTGATATTTTCTTCTTACAGAAAGAGTTTCTTGACGCAGAAAGCAATATACTGAGTAGTATTATGGTGCAAACTCCTTATCTCAATGCAAAATAACATTTTAAGTAGCACTAGCTAAAAATTGGAAATAACCCAAAAGTCTATCAATGGGGAATTTGCCAAATAAATTATAATAGATTCAGAAATAAAATCCTATGTATTTTTTTTATCATAAAATCTACATACATTACTATATATCCATGATGAAATGATGGAGTTGTTATTGGGAGGAGAGGTGCTGCTCCTGGCATGAGATGATCAATAACACATTCTCATGTTCACGTTTTGAATGAATCCACAGACACGCAGAAAAGTGGGATATGCAAGTAACTTTAAAAATCAAAGAAGAATACACTCTCAAGAGAAGAGAACGGGCAGAAACAGCCTATGGAAAGCTGCTTCTGCACCCAACTATTGTTGAGCTGTAATTTTTATTCTTAGGGGCACTGAGGAGTGGGTTTGGGGTGGACTTTTCCTAGAAATGGGTGGGCTTAGGACTGAGTCTGTTACTCCTCCCTTATGTCAGGTGGGGGAGTTTCAGGCCTTATAGGGTCATACCTGGACTGTTTGGGCATCCTGGTGGGTGGAGAGTTAGTAAAACCACAATGCTAATATTATTATAGTGAGCACTTAATGAAGGTAAAAATAGGTCATGGTTATCTTAGGTCAATCTCAGCTATTAATGCGCATGGTCAGGGGGTTCTCTAACCTGGTTCCTGCCTTAGTGGTCGGCTTTCTACCCTATGCATCCTGGATAAAAGGACTACAATGCTGCAAGGGTATCTAATAACAGTCTAACAGGTAGGTGTGAAGTTCCCTATAGCTTGGCTGCTTGCTTGCATGTGTGCTGCAACAGCTTCTGCAGGCACCAATGAGTTTGGAACTCTCCTACAGTCCTGAAGTTTTCGTAACCTAACCTGCCTGCTCTATCAGAATGAGCAGTATGGATGTAGTAATAAGTGCAAGATGAAAATGTACAAGTCTGTCTATGCATTAAGTTTCTGGAAGCATACAAAAGATACTGTTTGTTGATCATGCTTCCTTTGGAATATGGGATGGGATCGTGGTGAGACAGAGCATGGGGCTCTTTATTTTGTACCCTTCTATACTGTGTACATTTTTCTACAACTAGCATAAAGTACATTTATAATTTTTTTAAAATACTAATTAAAATTTAAAATTGTGTTTAAAAGTCAAGAGTACCTGTCAGATTAGACTCACTGCAAGTCAAATTTCCACAAATTGACTTTGGGCTAAAATTTCTTTTAGACTCACTGAGGCAATGTTTACATGAGATGAATTCTCATGAAGTCATTTGTGCAAAGATATAAGAAAATATCAACTTATTTTTCCAAACCCAGAAATCTGTTTTTCTCATTGAAACAAAGTTTATTATGGCCAATGCACCCATCTCCCAAACCAAAGTTTTAGTCCATCTCTAAGATAGGTTTCAAAGCTAGGAAGTGGAAGTCAGGATGCCATCCCTGCAGTGTGACAATCATCTAATTCTAATCATAACTGTTACAAAGAAGTACAGGACCAAGCCATTCCGTGCTAAGAAGGGCCTGAAGATGGTAGACTATAACACATATTTGACAAAATCCAGGGGTCCTACATGCTTCATGGAAACCACAATTTATAATGCCAAAAGTATGAGATGTTAGGCCTTTCAGGGTTATGTGGAACACACTCATAATCCTTAACATTTACACAGTACCATGCAGTTTGCAAAGCCCTTCTATATCTGCTGTCTCACTGAATCCTCACCACACATCATTGGAGTAGGTAAATTTCATGGATCTAATTTTGTAGATGCAAACACTGGGCACAGGAGGCTTATGCTTATTCCCCAACGTAACTAGGGAGTGAAGCAGCAAAACCAGAATGTGCCAGCAGCCCAAGTTCTTACCACCACCTCACACTGCCTTCCAAGGCAGAATGACCCACACTATCCACCTGTCGGGAGAACCTGGCAAACTTGCTCTTGTTCTGTTTATTTGCATGCTGATCCCATTGAGTTGAATGAGTTTAAAAGCAGATCATGGCTGCTGTCGCTGTTTTAAACATTGCTTACTTGGAGCAGGCAAGGAACAGAGAAAGCAGCTTGAGTTTTTCTTAGTCACCTTGAACAGTATCAAGAAGGACAAATAGAGGAAAAGCAATTCTAGTTTATCCAAAGGAAACAAGCCATTGCATATGCCGTGTCTCCTACTGGCATGTCTGCGGTCCCTAGCTTTGCTTTACAATAGCTTTTCTCTTGGAAGTTCAAAGTGACAATAATAAAATTATCGTCCTTGACAGTCTTTCTAACATTGTTACCAACTTTCACCATGTCACTGCAGCCTGTCGTGTAAGACATCTTTCCCTTCCCAAAGCTGTCCGTTAAACTACACATGTCTTATATTCCATGCATATTTCTACTTTCTTGGACATAACCCTTATATAGAGGAATTGTAATTATGTGATAATCCTTTCCACTGAGCACCTATTATCTGCCAGATGCTGAGAGTGGCACTTTATACATTGTGCATTATCTCAACCTTATAGCAAACTCCACAAGGTATAGCTCCTTATTCCCACTGTGCAGAGGAAACTGAAGATGAGAGTGACTGAGTCTGGATCTTCAGTCATGAGGGGCAGAGCTGGGGTTCAAACATATATCTGTCCAGCTTCACAGCCCAGATTTTCTCTCCAGTACACAGCACACCAGAAGTAATGTTTATTGTGTTAGTGACTGAAATAAGGCATTAGTGGAAATGTTCATTTTAAAGTTATATATTTTAATAGTCAGCATCACACACTCATTTCCTCGGTGCTTACACAGTAGGTTGGTGGTCTGAGGTGATGAAATTCAACCCTGATACCAATGCAGTGCTCTCGTACTCATACCCCTTTCCACACTCAGGAGAACTGTGGTATATAATGGATCCTTCTGTTCTGTCACTTCCTCCACCTGGCCAACTCTCAAAGGAAAACAAAATGCATATGATCATTGAGGTCTAGAAATTAACTTTTATTTTAAATCTGTCAAGAACTCCTGACAGTTATTAATTTTATTAAAATGATTACATATGGCAAAACAAAGAATAGAGGTAATTCTATTTCTCTACAACATAAATTACGAGTTAGATTCTCAGCTGCTGGCTCAGCACTGTTCAAGATTCTTTTAAAGGATTAGAGGAATTTTAATATCCAGAAAAATGTTAGAGCAGCACAAGAAAAAATAAATTAAAAGTAATTGTAACTAGAGATATTGCCAAGGATGTGCTTATTATAAAATCTTCTTGATGTGTTAATTATAAAACCTTCCAAGCTTTGGTACTTAACAAAAAAAAAAGTCACATCACTAGCTGTCCTATATTGGCTTGTCATCTATAGTTTATAACACAGAACAAATCAGCTGATTTTTTTTAAAAGATGGCAAAAGGAATCATGACTAATTCAAACAAAATACAACCAGCATTCATTCATCTAACTGAAATATGTCAGAACAAAAACACTTTTATTAACATATTTAATACTAGAATAACTTATAGTAGTATGAAAAAGAGTGAAGTACTTGTCTTTAGTTTTCATTGACATGCTCACATTTTGGCAAACTGTCTTATAAAGATTCCAAGGTTTTTATCAGGGATCTCTAACTACTTAAGGATGTAAACCAAAAGAACTCATACTTCATCTTATCATACAGTCATAACTTATATATATTGCTTTGCGCTTACTGTTACTGCAAACAGCAATTTAGAAAACAAAGTTAAAATATATATATACACAAAATATTTTTATATCAAATTATCTTCATTACACTAAATAAACCCAATCCCCAAATGCTATATTACATTAAAAAGTGTCCTACAATTTGTATCAAGACTGATAGTGTCTATCAACTAGAGCAGCCTTTGGTTTTAAAAGCATTTTGCAAAATAAAGAAAAGCGTTACCACATGGCTGCACTATTGGCCCTCATTCACACTCACAAAAATGCTTTCCAGTTAAAAAAAAAATAGATTATACATCCAGAAAAAAATCCCACCATAAAAGAGTCAAATTTTTTTTTACTTCTCTGTAGCACACACACTCTGTTATATTTGGCATTTCCACTGTTTATTCAAGTTTCAAGTCTTCCCAAGCTGATTAGAATATTATTGTTTGATTGAAAAAGATATGTTTCTTTCTTGATATTGATTATCCTTATTCCATTGTAGTCTAATTTAAAAACAAAATGTTTTCTTTTAATGCATGATTTCACTTAATTTTTACTTTAATGTCCTACTTGACAAAATTCAGACTGTTCAATGTTTTGTTTTCCATATGTTTTATGATGTCCATTTGGAAATCAATTTTATGTGTGTATCTATATATTCACACAGAGATACATTTCTTTCATTGTCTTGTTCTCGTTGCAATACAAATTGTCCGTCAACAATTATAATTTGAAATGAACCAAATAAAAGGTTTTTAGTCATTCCATATGAACACAAATTCCATCACAAAAAATACTGAGCTCTAATGCAAACAGGATTATGTTTTAAAACTAAACTATAGGTTTAGGTTTACACAGGAAAATTTTTGGAGTTATATAATACAGTTGTTTTTTTTTTTAATTTCAGCAAAGCCTGAGGGAAAAAAAATCAGAATTAATTCTATAGGGCATTGTGGGGTTTTCCAGGGGTGCTTGAAAAATGTTTTCCTGATCACAATGTATTTGTTGCAATTTTAAATGAGTTTGAAGGAATCATTTCTTAAATGTACACACTCTGTAGATCACCGCACCTTGCATTTTGGATGCCTGTAACAAATCAAATGTGCAGGCAAGACACATGCATAAAATTCTGTCACTCTGAAAAGCACACTGAACAATTTTCAATACTGTAGAAAATTTTTAAAGGGACATTTCATTTGGACTGAAGAGATTTCCAAGTTTTAACATAAGAATGACTGAATATATTTCAAGGGCTCTTGGCGATTCTGGTTTCAGTCCTGGCATGGCTGGCATGCCCAGAGTGATGCACACAAACTAGTAAGCACACGGCGCTGGCATTTTGAGGCACAGCTGTTCTACTGTGCCCACGTTGGAGCTCATTTTCGGGAAGCAAGGCACTTACTGTAATGGTAATGCTGACATTTTATGCATAGTTTGAGTAACATAAAATAAGTTAATATTTTTGATTAAAGTGAGTTTTTTTATAATTTATGTCTTTTATAGAAGCAACTAAATGATCTATTTAGGTTAATTAAAAATAGGAAGAGGTTTGAGAGGGAGTCATTTCCACCCCTGCTTCGGCTCTTAAGATGAGGACTTATGAGAAACACTGGGAAGAAGAACGGCCATGAATCTGAAAAGCAACAAGCTCTTAAAATGGCTGCACCAATGGCACTTTGACAGTCTTCACTTCTGCTATGTGGGATGACTTCTGGATGATGCAGCTGGTAGTTCCCTGCAGTTTGTCCTTTCCCTGTGCAAGATTTGTTAAGGCCATAGCTGCATTGATCTCCTTCCAGTACGTGTCATCCTTGCTTGGCCCCTTTCTGTTGACTGCACTAGAGTTAGGCAAAATAGAAACAGAATGATCAAATTCAACACAGTTTGCCTTGAAAGCACCATGGCTGAAAAGCACAGATGGCAAATAGAAATATTTTGCTCACCTGCCCCCCTTACTGGATTCGTTTTCCAGAGTGTCTGTGGGGAAAAAAAAAGCAAACCTCAATTATTTTTCTTTCTTTTTCTTTTTTCAATCTCAGGCGTTTCATCACTAATTACCAGAAATAAAAGTCCATCAGGAAACATGGTTGATAATTAGTTCATCAAGACAAAGCTATTTATATTAAGACACACACACACACACACACACACACACACACACATACACACACACACACACACAATCTCTGCAAAAGAGCAGGAAAAAGATGAGAGCAGGTAATAAAGAATAAAAAATAGCTTTCATAGATTTACAAAAATCTGAGGTTAATTTACCCTGAGAAATCAGGCCTCTGCATTGAAAGGTAAAAAGCACAAGGGCAAGTGTGAAGCCAGAGCTGGCCAGGTGCTGGTCTCACCACCACTCACCTGTGGTGTAACTCAGGACAGATTACAATGCCCCACATTGTCTGAGATTGTTTCCTCAACTATAAAATAAGGGGGTTCCTAGGAACTTGAGGGTGCCTCTGGCTGAATAGTCTGATGTCATGGTTCGCAAATCTTCACTTCAGACACAAGACTGGCCAATAGTATCCACTGGCCAGTCAGAAAATGAGGAGCAGGCCCAAGCCGATAGCGGCACACGATTTCCTGGCATATTTACAATTTACGAGAAAGCACCAGGCACCAGTCCTCACTCTCCAGAAGAACTTCTGCCACTACAGGAAGCGACAGCTAGGTTGCTGGCTTCTGCTTCTGCCTGCTCAACTTTGGTTTAGATTTGCTTTCTCACTCAGAACACAAACGTCTCCCAACACCACATACATAATAAAGAAAGAGGAAAACGGGTTCTTGATCTCAATTAAATTTCTCTGGTAGCTCCTTTGGCTAAAAGAATATGGTACGAGGAACACAAAAATGGATATGCTAGGGGGAAGGATGTGTAGGGGTAAAGAGGGGTTCCCAGCAAGGCACAGGAGGTATAGGCAAAGGCGTGAGATTGAGACTCTCCGTCAGATCAGCCTCTGAAAGTAGCTAGTGGCTAAGCCGCCACGGCTGCCATCACTATCACCATCAAAATCATCATCACCATCCACAGTCAACAGCACAAAGGAGCAAAAAAAGGAGGCGCTAAACTGCACACAGGAAACATGGAAAATGCGATGTTTGTGTGAGGCCGTCTTCTAATTCTATGGCCTTTGCAAAACTGTCTTTTCCTGCTCTTAGTTGTTTCCCTTTCTCTTACCTCTCCAAACCAATATTTCTTAAGGTGATTTTTTTTTTCTTTTGCAGTGTTCTGCACTAGTTAAACAATGCAGCCTAATTTCCAGTTCTGAGGTCTAAGAGAACTCCCAACACCACTAAAAGAATCATAGAACTAAAAGAGGTGGGAAAGGAACATCAACATGATTATTACATAGCCAACCAGGGCAAAACTTCCCAGGGTAGAGATGGTCGACAGAAAATAGTAACATGACCATGGAGTTGAAGTGGCAAAGTTCTGACATCCTCTCTGAAGAAAAAGAGTTGGAGAAGCCTGCTAACATAGCATGAGCAAGGCCTTAGAGTGCAGACTGTGAGACAAAAATGGGTCACCATGAGCTCTTTGCACAGACCTTCACCTAGGGATCCAGGGAATGTAAACAAAAGAAGGCAAACAAACAAAACAAAAGCACATAATCAACAGACAACTAGGCTGTTGTGAAGAATAAATGAGATAATGTGTGTCTGGCCCAAAATAGAACAACTAATGTTAGTTCCTTTGGTCTCCTTTCACTGAATATTCAGGTGACATTTTATAAGGTTTTAGGGATCCCTCCGGGAAAATGATTGGGTCTGTGAGCAGCTGGTGGTGACCTTCTACAGCACTGCCAGCATCTGCATCTTCTGGTCCTTACTTGGTCCACCTGGACAGTTAGTGACACCTCTGCTGCTGCTTTTGATGGCTTTAGAATGATAAAATTACCCACGTGAATGAAGAAGAAGCATGAGCCTTTTAAATTTACAGCTCTGATAATCCTTATTTTCAGATCACTCACTATGTGCCAGGCCCTACTCTGAGCACTCTGCATCTTCACTTATTTAATATTAGTGACTTTGTATATGAATGGCATGTCTCTGTGGTGTCTGTGAAGTCATTCTTTGTTTAGTACTCTTATCTGTAAATCTTAATTCTGTAAGGACAGAGACAAGATGCTACCAGAACAGAGAACGAGTCAAGGCCTTTGTTTGGGAGAAGGAAAGCCAACAACATTGGACATTTTACAGAGGGAAAAACGAGAGTTAGGCCTTTGCTCAATTTTGCCCTCAAATTGCAACAATGCTATTGCCAAAGTGAAGCAATAGGTTATGGAGACATTTATTCAATGGAAAGACTTGGCAAAAGCAGAATAAGTTCCATGAAGCTTAAATAACGTTAAGGAAATAACAAAACATAATTTAGAAAAACCATGTAACCGAGGCTCTGGCTCACAAACAAGCAGGCTCACATATACGCAGAGCTGGGAATCCAGTTCCTACCTGAACCATCACCCTGAGAGCAGTGACCATGCAGACAAAAATGCCTGTGGCTGTCAAATACGGTCAGGTCAGGATCCCAGAAATGCCACCAATGCATGCAGCTTGCAGGGGAAGGAGGGCATGTGGTTCCCTGCTGAGGTCCATAGGAGCTTCTATTCAAGGTGAGGAGTGAGCTTGTACGGCCTGTGAGCGCCTGGCCTAGGCTGGCCCTCCCTGAGGCTGACACCTTGAACGCACTCCATTGAGAAACACGTTTACTGCAGCCAGCCGTGAAATTACAAATTCTGCTTACTCTTAGGGTATATGTGTTTTACCCTTTGGTGCCTATAAAAACACCTCTGAAGTGTAAAAACACAGACTCTAATTCCCATTGGGTATTCTTAATTAGCTTCACAAATTTCAACAATGTATTATGCATTATTCAATAGACTAAATTCTGTATTTTATTTTTAAAATAGGGGGCATATTCAGTGTCATTAGGTGTTGCTTGGATTCCTTGGCAATAAAGAGAAGTCTTCTTAAAAAGTAATGAAGAATAGTAACATTATGCTTCTCCAACAATAGTCAAGGCTGAAACAGAACATAACAAAGCTTAATCTCAAATGTGGAAACCACAAGAAAAAGTTGACTACCATCACTTTTAGGGGGATCTCTGTATCCAGGGTAGTTCGGGTTCAAAAAATAAATTAATGTTAGAAAGGCATGCTTTTCTTGCTGCTGCTGTTGATGGGCTGCCCAGTGTCTCTTGGATCTTAGCATCCAACAGGCACCTCCTGCAGAGTAGTGTGTTCTAGTTCCCAAAAGAACGGGCAGAAGGAAGATAGCAAACAGGGCCCTTTGGCTTCCAAACATTTTGTAAGAAAACAAGGACTCTAAAGACCTGGGAGTATGGGGAAGCTTTTTCCTATTCGTTATGCTACGATGAAATCTGGGGAAATGCCCCATCTATTTTAGACAACTGATATCATTTGAGAAGGACTCAGAAAATGTACCATCTTCTCATTATATTAAATGATTGTAAAATATTATAATTTTTTTTTTCTTATGCTCTTTTCCCTTGAAGTAAAAATGTTCTAGCTCTTCTGTGGTTCAAGTGTGTTGTGTGTTGTGTCTTTTCAGTCCACAGTCAGTATTTGAGGACAGTGGGTCTGCCGTACCCATCACTGGTAGTCACAGGCTTATGACACTTCTGCTCACCCCTGAAAGGTGGCCCCCACTCAGCACCAGAAACAATCTGACAGGAGCAGGCAGGACACTGCATGTTGCTGAAGAGAGGGTAGTGGCAAATATGAGCTAGCCCGGGGCAGGCTCCCGCAGGTCCTTAACACCCACCAACTAGGGTCTGCTCCCCGCCCCCACTTGGCTCCGCTTCATCTCTTACTTTGCAAGTAGCTTGGCTTGACCTCTTCAAAGTCTGAGCTAAAATGCCTTTTTGGATTCTAAAGTTCCAAAAATCAGCTATGCTGTCAATTACCATAAAAGCAACTGGTTGGCAGGAACAACGTATTGAACCAGCCAAAAGAGCATGTTTTAGGACCAAAAAAGAAAAGAAAAAAAATGAGATGCGTAGCTAGGAAAATCTTGGATGCTGTAAAACCCAAACCATGTTGAAACCTAAAGTGGGGCTATCCTCAGTTTGGACATGTGTTTCCTTAAAAGTTAGGCCGAGAAACAATTATATAGAAAACGCAGTTCTGCTGCAACTCGAGAGGCAGAAGCACTGCGATGTGCAGGCCAAGAGTCCCTTCAACGCTGACAAATGTGGTTTAGAGGCACACTCATTCCGCTATATGTTCCTGAAGTAACATCTGTAGTCATAAAAAGAGGCGAAAATGGGGCCAAATCTTATTCTTCTCTGATATGTTTTTCAAATTTAATTTAAAAAGCCCTAAAGTTGGGAATGTTTTTTAAGCATTCCACAATATACTACTGACACCACCACTGAAATGTAAATAAAAATAAGAATATGAGTGTTTTTAATTAAATAATCTAAAAATCATATAGTATCTGTTTCCCTAAATTAAAATGAAGACGGTGGAAGAGAAGGAGCTTTAGGGATCGTGGAAAGGGAAGCAAAGGGGAAGTGAGAAATCATTACTGAAATAGCTCTGCCAAGAGGGAAAACAAAGGCAGACCACTAGGATTTGTCATCATTCTAAAACAATCAGAGAAGGCATGGTTGTGTGCCATATAACGATGGCTCGATCAATAACAGAGCGCATACATGATGATATTCCCACAAGATCATAATGAAGCAGAAAAATTCCTATCACCTAGCATTGACTATGCTATATTTCTAATTCCTATTTTAGAGTGTACTTCTTCTACTTACAAAAAAAGGTTAGCTGTTAAACAGCTTTAGTCAGGTCCTTCAGGAGGTATTCCGGAAAGAAGACATTGTCATCACAGGAGATGGCACCTCTGTGAGTGTTATTGCTCAGGAAGACCTTCCAGTCAAGATGTGGAGGTGGAAGACCCTGTGTAGGCCTAGGCTGATGTGTGTGCTTGTGTCTTAACTC